TTCTATTTTGTTGATAACGTCTTTTGATGCACAAAATGGTTTAATTTTCATGTTTTGAATATAGAGCCTGTCTTAAAGGGAATTCCCTGGGCCAGTAACAAACACATAACACAAATTCTCGGGCCAACACCTCAGATGCCCGTGGCTGTTTCCAGCCCAGTTAGAGTCTGCTGGTGCTGGGAGCTGGGGTTGAATGCCCAGTGGGAGCAGGCTATGGCCTTGTGCCTGTGCAGGTGGGCCGCTAAAAAGGAGACCCTTATAGAATGCTAAGACACTTGAAAGGCAGCCACAGTCTGTGACAATGGGACTTGAAAATGCCACCCACTCACCCAGAAAAGAGAGTATGTTCCCTCTGCTTAGGGCTCTGAGTGGGACTTACAAAGTCTTCCGTGACAGTTTAAAGGCCCAAGCCTGTGCCGTGCAGCGATGTGGAGCTTCAAGGCATGCCTGGCAGGAATCCTCAGCCAAGAAACTAACATGAAACCCAGTGCAGAGCCAGGGAAACCCCTGGATCCCTGGAAGAATGGAAAGCCAAACTGCTCTGCAGAGCTTGTTCCACCACCCACACGTGGGACTCTGAAAACAACTCCTGCTGAGACAAACAAGCACACACCCCATGAGGAAGCAAACCCCAGATCCACGCAGGCACCCCAAGAACGGAAACAAGAATAACATGAAAGAGACTACAAACTAATTGTGCTTCAAGTCATTACGGGAAAAAGGACAAGAAAAATTAAGAAGAAACAGGACACTATTTAAAAAAGAAGAGTTAAATTTGCAAAAGCATCAAATAGGACTTCCGCAAATGAAAGGCATGGTTATTGAAATGAAAAACAAACGGCTACAGTCGAAAAGAGAATTGATGAACTGGAAGAAAAAGCAGTGTGATGGGTAGAAAGATTTGTATTGCATGGAGGCCTGATGAGCTGTCTCTGAATCCATGTCTCTGAATTATAAGCTAAGCAAGGAAAAAGTATGTCTCTGTGTGACTGTGAGTGTGTGTGTGTGTGTGTGTGTGTACACATGTGCATCCACATGAAGGATATGTATGTGCATGTACGTGTATGAAGGTGTATGTGAGTGTGCGTGTGTGTGTGCCCACATGAAGGATATGTATATGTGTGCACTTGTGTACACATGCAGGCTGGAAAAGGAGTCACAGATAACGTGACACTGTGGCCCCCGTCAGTTAAGAGGTGATCATCATGACTTTGCTTGGAGATTATGTGTTATCAAGTAGGACATTTTCCAGCATGTTTCACCATTTAAGTGATGGGCTTCAAGTATTTTTAACAATTCTATCAAATCTCCAGCAGTTACATTTCTCCCCTTCTGGGCTGTCAGGAACTCAATGTTGGGACATTGTGGGTACATAGGGCTCCCATTAATAGCTTGCCCGTGTGCTGCCATCGGGGTGGGTGGCTGCTGGCTGGCAGGGAGTGAGCACATTGAAGAGGCACCCCTGTGGATCCTGGCTTTACTGCCTCCCAGCCGACCCTAGAGGCTTCAGCCCTGCCTTGCACCCACTCTGCTCTCATCTTTCCATCATCATCTCAACAGCCATGGAAAAAGCACCTTTTAGTGAGCCTGCTGGGGGAGGTGGCGACTGCACCCCTGTCTCCCCACCCACGCCTCCACCCTGCCCTGGACCATCCCTCCAAAGAATAAAGACCACGTTTTTGTTTTTTTTTTTTCTGAACTGAGCAAACACTGTAGCAGTTATTATGTCTTTTACGAATGTTTGAACAAGCTTGGGGAGGCATGAAAGGAGAATATCTTCACCATGGACAAAATACAACCCTTCGGGAAGAGCGAGGACAGGCACCCCAATCTCTGCAGCTGCGTGGGTGGCGGCCAGCTGTGGCTCATGCCTGGTACTCCAAGGCCTGTGTGACCTTCGGTAAGTCACCTAACTTCCCTGGGCCTCAGCTTCGTGTTTGACAAATGGAGATAAAAAATAGTGTCCCCCGCCAGAGGGTGGGAGGACTGAAGGAGAAAATGCCTGCTGCTGCTGGTGGTGTTTCTCTTGTCTGAACAGCAGCGCGGCTGGCCATGTTCTCTAGCACTGCCTTCGCCTGTGGGCTGGGGGCAGGCAGCAGCAACGCCACCACTCTGCGGGGCTGATTTGAGAGGATGGAGGTCTAGGCCAGCTCAGTGGCTGCCAGCCAGTGCTCATGGGAGGCATAGAGGTCATCCCTTCCCTGCAGCCTCTTCCTCTCTGACCTCGGGGCTGCCAGAGTGCTCTTTAAACTCAAGAATCATGTGACTGCCCATTGCCCACCCCAAAACCTTCCAAGGCTTCCCAGTCCCCTTCGGACAGAACCCACTTTGCTACCATGGATGGATGATCCCGCCTCCTTTTCCAGCCTCAGCTCTTGCCCCTCTTCCTTCCCTCACCACATGCCAGCCACACTCCACCCCAGGGCCTTTGCATGTGCCTTTTCCCTACCCCGGCACTCCCTGTTCTAGCTTTTTGCAAGACGGACTCTCATCTGTTCTGTTTCTCCTAGGAGAGGCCTTCATTGGCTGCTCTATCTGGACCCTTCCCTGCCCAGACCGTTCTTTTATCTCAGTAGCCTGTCCCTTTCCTTCCAAGCCCTTGCCACAGTGTAATTACCCATCGGGTGTGGCCTGCTTTGCCTGTTGTTCTCCTCCCCAAGTGTCCCTGCATTCCATGAGTGCAGGGACTACGTCTGCTCCACTGTCAGGGGTCTCCAGTGTCGTGTGCGGTGCCTGGCATACAACGGGCTTCAATAATTTGGGGTTAGAGTAGACTGAATTAACAAAAACAAAAAACACCGTTTCAGCCCAACTTTGGAACTAATTGGGAGGTTAAAATCCTGGCGGATGGAGATGAAAACACCAGTTTTGACAGGAAGAGGCTGGAGTGGAGGTTGTGGTTTGGTGAGGGGCAGCAACGGGACACAGCCCACGCAGGACTCATCCCCAGGCACCAGCAGCTCTGAAGAGCGCAGCCACTTGCTGAGTGTGTGTTCCCCGGGGGCCCCTCCCGCTCTGGGGTAAGAGGCGGGAGCTGGGGCAGGAGGCTGGGGGAGCTTGGCAGGAATCCCTCCTCACGGGACCTGAGGAGTAGGGGAGAGGCATTGTACCCTCACCCACCACCCCCAGCCTGCACATCAGAGATAGCTGCTGGGTGACAGACATGGAGACCAAGGAGACCAGTGCAGTGGAGTGCTAGGTCCATTCAGAGCAGCGCCAGGGAGAGCAGGGTGAGGGGCTTCCTGGAGGAGGTACCGGGTGTCATGGAGATCCAGGCCTGGCCCTTACAGCCCACTCTCAGGGCCAGTGGCAGGCTCAGTGTGCCCTGGTCCCAAGCGAAGTCACAACTGCAGAGCCCCACGGCATCTGGGCGGGACCAGGGAGGAGTGAGTCCCTTCTTTCCAACAGCCATGGGACCAGCCACATCCCCTCTCCTTTCCAAGCGGATATTCCAGAGAGATCAGGCTCTGTGATTAGGAGATTGAACCATGGGAGGATTAGAAGAGCTCAGGCGCAATGTCTATTAAGCTGTGACGGAGGGACGGCGCCAGAACTGTTTACAAACACAAAGGGGGAATCCGGGGCTGAGGCAGGGCTAGCCCAGGCAGCAACTGACTCTGAAACAGAAAAGAGCACGTCAGTGTCGAGGCGCACACATACACAGGCATTCACGTGCCCGTGCCCGTGTGCTGTGTGTGTTTATGAGGAATTTAGAGTAAACAGATTGCGTATTTATGAGTACATATACAACATACGTACACGACTTACAATGTGTGTTTATAGACAGACGCTCCTACAGCACATGCAAACCCATGCTATGTGTGTGTGGGTGTGGACATAGTACACACAGTGCGCGTGTCCAGAGCTGACCTGCCTAGTTATAGAAATGGCACACAGATACCGGGTGCGTGTGTCTAACCGCATTTCCGTAGAGTATGCATAGGCATGGTGCTTCTACACAGATTTCATGTTAAGGCACACATATACACACCCGTGTAAAGTGTCACTGTATGTTGTGTGGGCACACTCCACAGATGGACGCCTGTACATCAGATGTGTGCCTGGGGCCTCACTCCACTGTGTTATCCGCGTTCATACGTATGTGTGACCTGAAATCAATCCAGAAAGGAAGATGCGCTGGAGTCTACTCTGTTCCCTGAGAAGCAGCCCAGGAGCCTCCTTTTCCTCCTGCAGGCAGCACACGTTATTTATGCAAATGGTCCTAAACAATGAAACTTCCCTCTTCAGCAGCTGCCCGCCCACATGAATGGGCAGGTTCCCTTCCAGAAGCAGGTGATGGCGTCACTGCCAGAAGGAACAACGCGTCCCAAATGAGACCCTGGATGAGACGGAAGCCCAAGTCTACAGTAGGAAGCAGCCCTTGGTCCAGAGAGGGACTTTCTGAGGCTGGTGACGGCCCAGCCGCAGCTTGCTCTGATGCTGCGGTAACCACACCCAGCAGGGAAACAAGGGCACCAGGCCACTCAACCCGGCTGCTGCGGCTGAGGAATCCCGGCTTTTTCAGCCTTCCCCGGGGGCCCCAGCCTAACCTCCAGGACCCTCTCCTTCCACAGCTCCTGAGCCGTTTCTCGTGGAGACTCATCGGACACTGGGTGTGTGAGTCGCTGCAGCTGTGCCCTTCCCATAGGAATGGCCCCTGGGTGGGGCAGCAAGGCAGGTTCTCCGACACGAGATGCCCATCTCGCCTCTCTCCCAGACTTCAGGACGATCGGATAAACACATCATGGCTCTGGGTTCTTCCTAAGGCAGCCCCTTTGCCAGGGGAGAGGGCCTCGGCCCGTGCTGAGCCGTGCTCTGGCAGGGCCCAGGGACAGCAGTAACTCAGAGGGACAGATGCATCCACGTGGGAGGGGTAAATGGGCTTCAGGTGCTGTCTGGCCTGGGTCCTGCTCCCATCCCGCTTGTTAACCTGTGTCTGTGCAAGTTGCTTTAACTTTTCCAAATCTCACTTCTCCGGTTTACAAAAGACCCCTCTCTCGGAGGGCAGGTGGAAACATTAAACGGCATCATTATGCCAAAAGTGATGTCTTTGTCCATCGGAAAGCCCTACATGAATGTTATTTCACGCAGAGACAATGACAGCAGAACGACTTGATCTTCTAGGCATGTTTTTCTGCATTTTAGAATGTTTGATTTGAGACATACAGGAAGGAGCAGGTTGTTACATAAATGCCCCCTATCAACCCCACTTCCTGGTATATGTGCCCTGTGACCCTCCCACGCTGACCCTGGACTTGGCCATGTGACTCGCTTGGCATTAGCTGAGGTGAGGCCAGTAGAGGGCCAATGAGCTGGGGCTTGCCCTCTGGCAACCTTGGCTGGAGGCCAGCGAGAGGCCATCGCGGACCTCTAGAAGACCTCCAGACGACTGAATAAACGGGGCTGACAAGACGTACCTGCCACAGCGACAGAGTCCTGAGCAAATCTCTGCTTTCCAGTCACCAAGTTTGGGGCAGTTTGCCACTTGGCAACAGGTAACTCATACACAGGGCATCGAAAGCACAGGAAGTTCCTGTCTCCTGCCCAGGGTTCTGGAGAAAGTTAACGGCTGAGCCAAGTGTAGGATTCACACCCCAGGATTTTTCCTGCCTTCCCCAGTTTCTGTGTCTGCTCTTTCTGTAGAGCCTGACATTTCAAGGGCCCTGGGGAAAATGTTGACTGGTTTGGGACCAGACTCAGAATGGCACCTACAAAGAATTATTAATGGCACTGGCATTCCTAAATACTAGGAAGAGAAAGAGGTTTCAAGGTAAGTAAATGGAATTGGAAGGGCCACAAGGGAAATTTTTCTCCTGAAAAAGGGAAACAGCAGATAGAGGGCTCAGGCTGTGAGGTCAGAGGGAACCAGGGTCAAAGCCTAACTCTGGCCTTGGCTTAGTTTGTGCCTTTGGACAAGTTACTTAATCCAGTGAGCCTCAGTTTCCACATTTGTAAGATAGGCATAGTGGTGCCCTCCTATCAAGTCGGCTGTGAAGGTTAAGGAAGCTACACTGTATAAATGCCCTACTCCAAACCCGGGGAGCACACGGAGAAGCTCCTTCTCTCCTGGGGTCTCAGCACCCCCTCACAGGGCTTCCAAAATACTTCTCCAGGGCTCTTGCTAAGATTCAAGGTGTTTGGACCAAGTAGGTGTGACAGTGAGTACAGTCTTCTGTCAGGGGGGCCTGAGCGAGGGGGAGGGAGGCTCAAGGAGGGAGGAGACCCTGCCCCAGAGCCTGTTTTCTGTCTGTCCAGAATGCCTGGTTCAAAGGCAGCTACATCCCCTTGGAGACATTGCTGATCTGGAGACCCTTGACTCTGCTAGCAAGACTCCGTGGCCACACCCTCTTCGCCTTTGATGGCTGACCCATGGCCACAAGGTCAGACGTGCACACCAGAAAGCAGAAACAGTGCTTCCCACAGGCTGGCCAGCCCCGCGGGTCCCTGTGAGCCACACTGGAGCCCACAGCCAGGCCCGGGAGCAAGGAGCAGATGCTCGGCCCTCTTCGATCTGGCTCCTCCACATCCTCCACCTCCCACAGCATGGATCCGCCAGCCCTAAATGAGCAGCTACCATTTGCTGGGGACTTTCTTCCCAGTCTGCAGTCATTTGTTTGGTTATCATATTAGTTTCCTAGGCTGCTGTAACAAAGTGCCACAAACAGGGTGGCTTCAAACAAATGTCTGTCTCACAGTTCTGGAGGCCACAAGTCCAAGATGAAGCTGGCGGCAGGGCCTGCCTCCTCTGAGACTGGCTGGAAGTCTCCCTGCCTCTTCCTAACTCCTGGTGTGGCCGCCAGTCCTTGGTACTCCATGGTCTGCAGTGACATGACTCCCACCTCCGCCCCTGTCGTCTCATGGACTTCTCCCTGTGCGTGTGTCTCTGTCTCTTCTCCTCCTCTTCCAAGGACACGGGCACATAGCACAGAGCCCACCCCACTCCAGGAGGATCTACTCACAGTTACTGGATTGCATCTGTAAAGATCCCATCTCCAAGTAAGGTCACGGTCACATGTACCAGGGTCTAGGACTTCCACATCTCTTTTGTGGGGACGCAATTCAACTCCCAACAGGTTTACGGTAAAAACGTGTCAAGGGCTTCTCTACAGTAAGCATAATAATAGTGATATTATCATAATAAAGTGCTTATTTTGCCCCAGGGACCATTCTAAAAATTTTACACGTATTAATGGACTGAAATTCTCAATGAGTAGATATTGTTATTACCTCCATTTTATAAGGAAGGAAACTGAGGCACAGAGAAGTAAATAAATAAATGGCTTCACCGGTGCCCTAGGCTGCCTCGTCAGCCCCCGTCATTCAGTGGAGGGTCTTGCCTGGTGGGGTGCAAGCAAGCACGTTCAAAAGCCGTTCCCTCCTCCTCCTCTTTATCTGCTCATCTCTTGGTCTAGGCACCGATCTCTCATGCTGTGAATCACGTGGACTGGCCCTGGTGTTCAGGCTGCTTCTTTTAAGGCTTTGCTTCATGATCTTAATAATGATCAGAGTGATGTGTTCATTCAAAACATCCCATTGAGGTGTCCTGAGCCCCTTTGAGGAGTGTGGTAAGGGGTGGCTGCTCCCCTGCTCCCCCAGTCATTTTCTCTGCAATGTTACATACTTGGATACTGCGGGACATGAGGTGTAGAAGACCCCATCCCTGCCCTCAGAGTCTGTTTGTGGTTAAGTCAGAGGGAAACTGAGGTCCCAGAGGTTGGGACATAGCCAGAATCACACAGTAGTTGGTGCAGGGACAAGACAGGGTCCCAGTTCTCACCCCCACCAAGGCCAGGCTCTGCCCAGCCCCAGCCCCATGCTGCATGTTCCTGGAGGGAACAGTCACCAATGGGCAGACATGGATGCCTTTCTAAAACTCCCTTGAATGGAGACAGGAGGGAACAGTTTGGGGACAGCCCATCCCAGAGGTCAGGGTCACATTTGGGGGTAGAAGTGCCCAGGCTTTGCCCATCTCTAACATTGTGACTGTGCCCGCTGCCATGCCAGATGTCTCCAGGAGACGGCCTTGCGGTCAGCCTGGAGGCCAGGGCAGGACTGATCTGCTGCCCTCCCCCTCGGACAGGGATTTCACACCCAGGAAAATAATTTCCTGGTAAGGAGATTAGAAGGCATCGCCCGCTCTCGGGAACAGGATGGGGCCCGGGTGAGGCAGGAGAGGAACAGCGGGAGAGGCCGGGGGGCAGGCGGGGGCACGGGAGGAAGTGTCACTGTCAATCAGGGCGCTGACCCATCTAATCCAGCCTCCCGGCTCTCCTGATCCCAGGGACAGATGCCGGGTAAAAAGGTGCAAACTCGGTGGGCCCAGCCCTCCCCGCAGGCCTGCAATACGGGCCCCTCTGTGGAGAGCCGGCTTAATCTTGCCAAGAGATAAGCTGTCCAAAAGACGCTCTCCGCGACTCCCATGCGCTTCCGCTGCGCCTCACGTGCAGAGCTGCGGTAAATAACGCCGGGTACAGCACATTCCCTTCAGTCAGGGGGAGTCATGCATTTGGTGGAGGCTGTGATAGGAGTTGGGGAACTTCCAAGAACTTCCCTCAATGGTGAGGTCTCATTCATTCACTCAAGAAGCGTTTACTGATCTAACATGTGCCAGGATGCGATGAGCTCATAGTCCTGAAAAGGCATGGTAGGTACATGCATAGGATTACACCACCACCATCCATCCATCCGTCCATCTGCCCATCCATTCCAGACTAGGCTCCCAGATTGGCCAGGAACAGACTTAAAGAGAAGTGGCCAGAAGCCTCACTCACATCCCATCCAGTCCCCTGTTGAGCAGTGAGCCTAGGATGCAATTTACATCTTGATGAGGGGCTCTTCTTCATGCAATGCTCTTTGATCTAATTCTATGCATGCTTGCAATTCAAGTCACTTACATCAGGAGACTCCTTGGGCCCTGGAGATGCCAACAGAGAGGTGGCCAGGCGGGGCTTGAGCACTGAGGTACCCATACTTAAGAAGAAGCTACCAAGAAGACCAGCAGTGTGCTGGGTGCAGCAACCCCAAGCTGCCAGGGGCAGGTGGAGGGGGGCAGAGATGCCCCAGCAGCCAGGGCCCAGCCCTTCCTGTTTATTTGTATTTGCCAGTGGGTTCATTCCTGGTGCATGTGGAGAAAAGAACATGGTGGGTCTAAAGGACCATGGATTGGAGCCACAGGATTTTCTGTGTTAAGGAGTGAAACGCATGTGCTGAGGACTGTGGGGATACCTCTGGGAACAGAGAGGATTGCTTTTGAACTTGAGACTGTCAGGGAACACCCCAGGTGCTTCAGTGCTGCGGATGCCAGTGACTGGCTGTAGGGGGAGCTGTGGAGTCAGGTCCTTGTCTTTAATGCAGTTCAATCCAGTTTGATAGATTATACACTTTCCATGTTGCTCTGGTTGACAGCCACAGCTCCAGGGTCGGAGATGAGACGGAAGAAGCTAATGGGGTAGGTGGTGCCTGAATATGCCATTCTCCTGAGCCTTCTCTTTGAGCCCATGGAAAATGGCCTGGCCTTGGAGGGCCTTGGAGAGCACTGGTAGCTGCCTTGCTGGCATCACCCAGAGTGTCAGGCAGGTTGCAAACTCTGCCATTAGGCTTCCTGGAGGCAATCCCGCTCCACCACTTAACACTACCTGAGTGACCTTAGGAAAACTTTCTTAACGTCTCTTTGACTCAGTTTATCTATCTGTAAAATAGGGATAAAATTGCATAAGGGTTATTTGGGCTGTTCACAAATATTCTGCTTCTCCTTCTGGGTACATGGCAAGATCACACTTCTCTGCCTTAAAAAAAAAAAAAACAGTCTTTTAAACATACTTGGAACAGTCACAAAATTAATTTCATTTCCTTATCTACTTTGAACTTACCCATGGTGTTGTGACTTTTGTGTAGCCAATGAATTATAAGTGATTTGTTACATCTTCACCACACTTCCTTCTACCCACCACTTCCATGGCAACCATGAAATGTTGGTGAAAAGCACAAGCCCCCTGTCAGCCTGCACTACTCATGCAGCACATGCAAGAAACAAACCTCTGTTGTCTTAAACCACCGAGATTTTTTGTCAGCACAGCACAACCCAGCCCGTACTGACCAATACCATTTATGACTGCTCCAGACTGAATTGTGTCCCCTCCTAATTCATCGGTTGAAGGCTTCACCTCCAACGTGATGGTATTTGGAGATGGGGTCTTTGGGAAGTGATTAGGTTTAGATGAGGTTATTAGGGTAAGGCCCTGATGATGGAATTACAACTTTTAAAATTTATTTATTATTTTTTTTTAGAGATAGTGTCTCACTTCACCACACAGGTTAGAGTTCAGTGGCATAATCGTAGTTCACTGCAGCCTCGGACTCCTGGGCTCAAGCAATCCCTCTCACCTTAGCCCCCTGAGTGGCTGGGACTGCAGGTGCACGCCACCACGCTCGGCTTGGAATGAGAAGAGACACCAGAGAGCTTGCGCTCTCCTCCCTTTCTGAACACACCAAGGAGAGGCCATGTGAGCCCAGAGGTGGTGGCCTCACAAGAAGCCCACCACGCTGGTGCCCTGATTCCGGACTGCCAGCCTCCAGAGGTGCGAAAGTAAACCTCTGCTGTCAAACCCCCAGCCTGTGGTATGTGGTTATGGCAGCCTGAGCTGATGCTCTCCCACCTCTGTCATAACGGCGTTGTGAGGACTTCACAGGTTCTGTATAAAGTGCTTTGTGCAGCGTCCTGCGTGTAGGAAACAGTAGAGTATAGGCATCCACTATTGTTACCCCTTGCTGTGGAAAATGGAATGGTCCTGCGTAAAACCGAGTGAAGATGAGGTGCATGTCTACTTTGGAGCATTTCCCCTGTTTTCTGGAAGCGTCATTCATTCCCACATGCATACCAGCACCGTTCAGGCTTCCAGTCAACACGTGCCCAGGACTCACTTTGTTCCAGGCCTCAGTACTCCATGCACTCATCTGGAAGACCTTACCTGAGCCCCAGGGGTTCACCATACCTAGCCTGTATTCCCCAGGGGCTCACAGTGGAGGGGGACCCAGAGAGTGACATCGCCGATGAAGAGGATGACTCTCTTGGGGCAGGGAGAGCCCTGTGGAGGGGCCTAACTCAGCAGGCTCAGGGCCCCCCCTGCGGGAGATGCACTTGATCTGAGCCATGAGGACAGGAGGACACACCTGGTCAAAGGCCGTCAGAAAGGCCACTCCAGGCACAGGGAAAGGAGGGAGCACAGGAGGGAGCCTCGATCCTCAGGGAGCCCTGAGCCCACGTGAGAACCCCCAACAGGGTCCTGGCGGGCGGCAGTCCCTCTTCTGACCCCAGTGCAGGGTCAGTGGCTGTGACACTCCAGCTCCCACTGGGGAGAATGAAGGAGGAGAGGGAAGGAGGGTTTGTGTGCAGAGTTCCTGCTTGCTGTGTGGCCTCATTTGCTCTCCCTGAAGACTTACAAGGTAGGTACTACTGTGTCCACTTAATAGATAAGGGCACTAAGCTCAGAACAGCTGTGAGACCACAGTCATATGGGAAGGACAGTGCCTGGATGCTTCTGAACTCAGTAGATACCGTCAACTGGCTGAGGATAGGAGAGCTGGGTTTTCAGAAGGTTCCTGAATGGCTGCGAACAAGGTGGGGAGAGCCAGCGCTGGGTTTGCGTGGGCTTGGCCTTGGGAACAAGCACTGCCAAGACAGAATGCTTGGGCCCGAAGGCAGATGACCATGCCGGGGCTCACACTCACTTCTGTGTGCATGGTGAGAGGCTGCCCAAGGGGCCGCTCAGCCTCAGGGATGATAATGGCCTTGGGGCCATCCCCAGTTGCAGCAGAAAGGTGAAGTAGATCTGAGTACACCCCAAATCCCCACCAAGCTCTGCCGCTTAACGGTTCTGACCTTGGGCAAGAGCCTTAGCTTTGCCAAGACTCAGTTTCCCTATCTGTAAATTAAAGGTGGCTTTCTTCTCATAGGGTTGTTGGAGTTTTAAAGAAGACCGTGGACAGAAAATGTCCAGCTCAGTGTCTAGGCCTCCAGCAGCTTCTCAGGAACTTCTCCTGCCACCACTCACCATTTCATGACCTTCTTCTGCAGACCTCTCTTTCCCCTCACAGACAGGCTGCAGCCTGGAGCCAGGACACACTAGCAACCCGAGGACATCCACGCGAGGCTCCGGGCTGCAAGTGTGGAGAGAGGCCCAAGGACCCCTCAGCATTTTCAACTCATCTCATGTCATTTGGGAGGGTCGCCGCCCCTCTCGTGGCCTCGTTTTATTGCCAGTAAAACAGGAAAGAAGGGGGTTGAACTGGTCGATTCC